CTCTCTCTCTCTCTCTCTCTCTCTCTCTCTCTCTCTCTCTCTCACACACACACACACACACACACACACACACACACACACACACACACTATTTGCATATGGGAGACAGCACGAGATATTTCAATAAACTATTTTTTTCTTTATAAACATAAATAATTACATCTGCATAAGACTGTCTAGTTACATGTAATGAAATTTATTTTATGGGTGAGAACATTGAGAATTCCTTGCCCATATAATTCCATTTCATAATTATCTTTATTAATGAAAGTCTTCTCAAATATTTAAATGAGCAAAAATACGCATGAATAACACACCCCTCAAATCCCTCTGCCTGCGATTTGGGGAGTAGAATTTTCACTCACTGCCTGGTTGTCTTTCCACTACGTGTGCCACCTCAATGCAGAAAAATCCTGTTTCCCTAAGGTTGAATAAAGCCATTTAAGAAAAGTACACCAAAATCAACATGTGGGATGTGAACAAAATTCACAAATGGCCTTCTGGGAAGCTGTTGGAAATATTCAGGTCATCTGAAAGTTATTTACTTTTACACTGTGTAAAATCCTGCTTTTATAATAGCCCCTGCTTAAAAAGAGAGCATTCTGAAGCTGCATGTGTTCCAGGGAGTGTGACCAGGCTTGAGGTGGGGTGGCTCCTACAGAGGCGCATGCGCTGCCTATGGCAAAGGACTGTGAGGACAGGGAGAGGAACGTGTGTCTAAACACTGGCTAGCCACTGCAAAGACCCCTGGAGTGTAACCGAGACACCCCAGAAGCATGAAACAGCCTTTCCCAGTGACTTCTATGAAAGCAAAGATCATGGATGGTAGCAGAAAGTGGCAGTACGAGGGCACCCCCATATCACTCACCTGAATTCTGTGCAGGACACGGCTGGCAGGGTTCCCCAAATGCATACTCGGTGTTGGCACAGCAGCACTCGGATTTGGTGACAGCGCCGAACAAGGGCTTCACACACTGGCCTCTCCTGTAGCCCCCATAGCACGTGCTCCGCATGTGTGTGTCTAGACCGGAGGAAGTACTTGCCATCATACCGCCATTTTAAACAGATAAGAAGCCCCACATGAGAGCCAAAGCTGCCTGCCGTTATTTCTCCATGGTCCCTGTTCTAGCTCACAGAGAATGCCTGTGTTCTTAGAACTCAGCAACGAGAAAACAAAAATAAAACAAAACTCCCAAAACACATTAGCTTCCGAGCAGTGGGGACCAATGGCCAGGGTCGACCATTTTCCTCCGGCTAGTGTAGTTGAGCAAACTGTGAGGCCCTTAAGTGCTGGGATTATTTTTCATTCATTTTTGTCTTCCCAGGCATGCTCAGAGCAGAAACTTTATAAACACTGCATGAAGGTTGGGTCTCAACACCATGATAAATAAGACCTTTATTAGAAATGTGGCTTACTTGAAAATAAACATGCAGTTATTGAATGACTAAATTGGGTTTGCTTTCCAAAAAGGAGAAAGTTTAATCTGTAAAAGGGTCATTATATAAACCTGCAGATGTTGGTCAACTAAGCTGTGTTATCTTTATCTCTAAAGAAGGAATTTCCCGCTTTGCCCAATCCTTTCCTAATTCAAAGGGCTTATTGAGTGTCTTTTAAAAGTAATTTGGATAAAAGTCTTGTTATTAAACAAATCTCAAAGCCACATAAAATTATCATTGCATGTTTCTGAATTATCCATGTTTCCATGGCATGGCATCATGCACTTTCCTTGGACATTTAGTTCTAATTTAAAATGCATACCATGAAATGGTGTACCTATACGAACCAACTCAAAAGATCATTATCCACCAAGGACGGTGGGAGAAAATTGAAGACAGGTATATATTCAGGGCAGAAAAGGAGGAAGAAAAGGCAAAGATTCCCTGGCCTTTCCTTTATTTAACCTTATCTTTCTGTTCCTAACATTAATATCCAATTTATCCAAGAAGAGAACTGAATTGGTTAGACTATTGTTCTGCAAAAATCACTGTATCTTATCTGCTTGGGTAGGACACATTAGTTATTGACATGCACTGCTGATTACTGGAGTATTTATCCTACACTGGGCGGTGGCCTTTTCTTACCAACGCACACCCGTCCATCGAGACCCACAGCCAGTCCGGGAAAGCATTCGCATCGGTAGGAGCCATCAGTGTTCACACAGCGCCCGTTCATGCAGATTCCAGGGGTTTCACACTCGTTGATGTCTGTAGAGGGAAGAGGCATTTCTTTAACACCACTGAACAAGTTCACTATGACAATACTGGAACACAGGTGCTGTGGAAAACGACTCCCAACAGCCATAGGAGCATGGTAGTGGGATGCTGCTCAGTGTTCTTCTAGAGATGGGAAATGCAGAAATCAACTGAGCTTGCTGCTTTTCTATTAAAAGCCATCTTTATAGAATCCTCCAAAGATGCTTCATATCAAAATAAAAACACAAAAGCCAGACAGGACTGGCGGAGGAAGGAAAATGACCACTAGAAGACAAAGGACTCCGTAACGCATCCCACTGTAGCCATGCTAGGGATATAGGTTGACTATAAACCGCATCTTTGACTGAGGTCAAAAAGCTTTTCCTTTCCGCAGCCAACCCCCAGGCTGGCATCCCTGTGAGTGTCAGCCTTGCCTGGTCCCTCTGGGACAATGAGTGAGAGGCAGACATTCAATGCCCAAAGGAGCACCACAGAAAGAAGAGAGAGGAACACAGGATGCCTTTGATGACAGCCCCCGGTCAGCACATCACTCAAAGCCACTGGGACCCAGTAAAGTCTTTCTTGAGCACTGTTGAGGACTTTTAGTATCATATGTGTGTCCTTAAGTACTGGAAAAGGATATCATTGGATCCATATTAACAATAGTAGAGATTTCCCCCACTGATAGGTCAAAGTAGAAAGGGTACCCAAACTGAGGTTTGGAAAACAAAGATGCTTAGAAATAAGTCACTTTCTAATAGTCCTTTTAAAGTATACAACTAGAGTAGGAGACTACGTCCTTTCTCCTCCTCACTTTCAATTGAGGCAAATGGAGAGTGAGGCACCTCTGGGTTTCACCTCACTTGTGTTGTGAAGTGTTTTCACTTCACAACAGACATTCCGATGGTTTAAGATTTCATGTTCAGATGGTATTTAGAACAGCAGTTATATTTAAGAACGTGACCTCAGATTGGTTCATTGGTGTCAGGCATCTTTTTGTTCAAGCAGAGCCCTACAGTACACCAGTGGAGCATATATTCTGAAAAGCAGCCTGGAGGCTTTCCAGCAGGACACGAAGTCCCTCAGTCGGCAGAGGCTCTGTTGACTGGGCTTTTGGCAGTCATGAGTTCGTGGGTTCAGTCAGGATGACGGATGAAAAGAAAATCTCATTCCACAGCAAGAAGAGAAACATGAGGTAGATAAAAGCAGCATGCAATGGCTGCCTCCTTTTCCCTCCTAAGTGTGTTTATCTGAGCTCTGTACACTAGGGGAGAAAGATGGGGACGATAACATGAACCGGTCTCTCGCCTCTTCCCTTCCTCTCTCTCTTCCTCCTTCCCTCTTTCCAGAATGCCAAGTCCAGGCAAACCAGTGCAGTTATCAGTTCTTCCCCACAATTCAACACTCTACTCAATGGAGAAGACACAGTTTCCATGACTGTCAATGGCTTTGGAGCCTCCATTTATCTTTAAGGTCATAATGTCCTAGGAAACAGCATGATTCAATGCCAAGAGGCTGCCACGTGGGTCACCAGACCTTGGCATTTCAGATAACCCAGCAATCATATTCTTTCCTCTTCTTTCTCACACGTGCAGCACTTAATTTGCACAACCTGATGATGTACCTTACTGTAGACCGTTGCTGTGTCTTGGACCTTTCTTCCCTGTGTCAGATCCTCCTGGCCAGAGTTCAGTGTGCATAGAAACCATTTCCCTACTTCAAAATTTGAAAACCTCAACTGTTTTCAACTGAAGACAGGTTGTGGTAGTTTGAAAGTAATTGGCCCTCATAAGCTCACAGGAAGTGTGGCATTCTTAGGAGGTGTGGCTTTGTTGGAGTAGGTATAGCCCTGCTGGAGGAAGTGTGTCACTGTGGGGGCAGGCTTTGAGGTTTTCTATGCTCAAGATACCACCCAGTGTCACAGTGGATTTCCTGTTGCCTTCTGATCAAGATGTAGCCAGCACAATGTCTGTTTGCACGCCACCATGCTCCCCGCCATGATGGTAATGGACTGAACCTCTGAACTGTAGACTGCCACCTCAATTAAATGTCTTCCTTTAGAAGAGTTGCCGTGGTCATGGTGTCTCTTCACAGCAATAGCAGACACGGGTTTTCACAATACTATAAGCCATCAACGTGAAGTTCACAGAGAATGCAGGGAAAGAACCAAGGGCTGGGAGCTCTTAAAAGCTTGGAGGCAGCACACCTTGCCAAGAACTTAAGACATGCAAGGCTTTCTTCCATGGCATCTCAACCAGAGCTGAGAAGTAGGTCCACTCAGAAGAGGCGCCCTGTGACTTTATCCTGCTTTTTCAGCATGTGAGGCTACATTCCTGAAGCAAAAAACTGTGAGCAGCGGCTCTTGGCAACTTCATAGACTTCCTGGGCTAACGTTACATATAAAGTTCTGAAAAGTTTGATTCCAGTTCATATCTTGTACCTACCTGCAACAGTTACCCATCCCTGACTTCATACAGCAGGAGATAGGAACAAATTTGTCACCAACAACCCTTGTTAGTACCCAACAGCACAAACGGAACTTCCAAGTTTTGCTTCCAATACTTGAAGCAATGAGATCTAGTTCAAAAGTTATCAGGCTACCCCAGGACTCCTGGTTAGTTCTTCTGCTTTCTCCTTCTTCCTTTTTTTTGCTTATGTGACTGGGTAAAGCCTAAATTCATTGTTATAACTAGATGAAACAGTAAGGAATACAGCAGCACAAGTAAGTCAGCATTTTCCTCCAAGGGAAGATGCGGTGAGTGGCCCAAGGTAATGACCAGAAAGGTCCCCAAACTGGAAGGAAAAGGCAGAACTCGGAAAAATCAGAAAGAACAGCAGATCCACTGGGACATGTCGACACCTCAGCTCCTAAAATCGCTCCACCTCAGCTGATTCCAGGCTCCTTTGAAAAGAACCCAAATGCCCTCTCTGAAATAAGACTAGCCTTGTTTCACTAACCATGGCTGTCTGGATCACTGAACATAAGAAGGAATATCAGTCAGGTTTCAAAATCAGAACCCGAGGGAGTCTACATGGGAAGAAGACTCTTCACGGAAGGTGTAGAGAGAAGAAAAAAGGAGGCAAAGACCACACGTGAGGGTTTTCTAGCACACACCTTTGCAGTAGCGCCCGTCTGATGCCAGCTGGAACCCAGGTTTGCAAATACACTTGAAGCTCCCATCTTCATTGATGCACATCCCGTTGAGGCACATGTTTCTGATGCTGCACTCATCCATATCTGGAAGCAGAGACACACGCCCTTTGGTTAAGAGAGGAAGGCTGCCGGGCGAATTGAATTCCGGCTTTCCACATTTCTTTCTTATTTTCTGTTATTAAAGCCCAAGGCTAATGTTCATCCAGATGGCAAATACAAAGAGAAGACAAGGCACGTGAAACAGGTGTCTCAGGTGCAGGCTGACTCAGCCGAGGTGAGTGGGCTCTTTGGAGGATCGCCCTCCACAAATGAACAGGAGCGCTACCTGCCTAGTGAGTTCCGACTTAGTTCTGATATACTGAAAATAAAACAAAACTGTGGCTACTGGCAAGGAAAATGTATGTAGGCTAAATCCTGGTACTTTTCAAAAGTAAAAGGCTATACCTAGAAATAATATGAAGTTGTATGGGTCAGGAGGGTCTGGGAGGGGTGAGTGGAGGGGAAAATATGAATAAAATACATAGTATGACATTCTTAAAAATAAAAAAAATCTGAAGAATAATAACAAGTAGAAGAAAGCTTGTCATTTTAAGCAATTTGAAGCAGATACTGCAAAGATGGATTTAGTAAGTGCTAGACTCGGCTATGGGATCCAGCTGAGCCTACTAATATTTAGACCCCTTTGATCACACAGACAGTTCTTAATTTCATGGGCATGCTGGTCTGTGAGCTATTGAAGCTATCCCAGGAGGCTTGCACCTCTCAACATGACCTGTTTTCACTTACAGGCTTTTAGTCAGACTCAAGTAATTTATGATTTTTCTTTATTTCTTTTATTTTTTTTTAAAAAAGATTTTTACCCTAACTGGGAATTTTGGCATTAAGTCTGTGGATTGAATCACTGAGATAATATTCTGCCAAACATGTTCCTAAGAACAATTTTGAAATTCTTTCAACATATTAACAGATTCTTGGGCTCTTTCCTAAAGAAGTTGGAAAACATGATAAGGAGCATGCTCCACTTTTTGCTAACGGCCCACAAAGTGGAAAAGTCATCCACAGCAGTCACATTTACTTTGCAAGGAAAAGCTGTTCGCACGATGAGTTCAGAAGTCAATATAAAAGGCTGGCTCTCCATACCCACGTTTCTCTCAAAGCAGTTCTACACGCCCTGACACTGATCCGTGGGTCTTATTGCTAGGCAAGCACTTCACACAAAAGGATTACAAGTGATTATGGAAGATATGGGCTTAAATGTGGTTTCATCGTGATTTCGCTCTGTTTGCTATTGTATAAAACTAGACAATATACAAACTTGGATTGCATAAAGATAGGAAGGAATGGTACATTCTACAAAAGCTTCACCACCACTGGGTAGCTCCGAGAGCTCACTGCTGCTAGCGTGTGTAAACGCTGTTTAACACATACAAGTGTGACGGTGGCCACGGCAATGTGGAAATTTAGGCTTGCCTTTCAGACAGAAGTATGTGAGACACATTTGACAGTTTGACCTTTCCCGCAGCACTGGGCTCTGCAAGGCTCCTGGTGCTGAAGCTGAAATGGGAGGGGAGCCGCCTCACGGCCAGGCCATTACCTTCACAGTTCTTTCCATCCCGAGTGACGTGGAAGCCCGCGTTGCACACGCAGTGGAAGCTGCCGTCTGTGTTGATGCAGCGCCCATTGTTACAGATCCGGCCGTTCTGCAGACACTCGTCAATGTCTGAGGTTAAAAGTAAAAAGGATGAAGATCGTTTGGAGGACTCGAAATTATTTTCTTTCCCCTCCATTTCCAAACTTATGACCTTAATCTTGGATCTCAACGATTTGATAATACCCATCACCATACATGTCATACCAAATAACAAGGTATGTGGGATCATCAGTATCAGGAAGATATGAGACAGAAAAAAAAACTTTTACATGATCACAATCACTCTTACTTTCTATTAAGGCTACTCAGACCTCAACTGTATGGAGAAAATAGAGTTTTCAAGATTTTTTTCTAGATAATTTATTGAGTGGTATACATATTAGCATATTATATTATATTATTATTTATATTGGACTTTGGCTGCTATCATTTCTAACATGATTAAAAGGGAAATCTTATAACAATAAGAGAAATAATAACAGAAAATGCTGTTTTTTTTAGAAATTGTTCAATTCCTTCTAATAGTCCTCCATATAACTACAAGCAGTTCTGGACCAAGTATAGTTTCATTCATACACACACAACTCTTAGTCTAAATTCTATGACTATTCTCCCTACCAAACAAAGCATTGGTCCTGTGGGGGATGTCCCCTTCCCCATTTAATAATCATAATAATTGTAATATCATAATAGAATTTAGAAATGTTAAAAAAAATGACATAAACTCAAATAACCTGTACCTGATCTCTAATTCCATGACTAAACATCCACCCCTAATAGACTCGGGGTAGCCTGGGTCTGGTCCTTCTGTCCTAAGAACTACAAAAGGATGAACATCAAAGAGGATGGCTCAGACAGCCTTGTCTCTGCAGCATACAATTGTTCCCATGCCTGTTCCCAGAAGATACAGAGACGGGCAGAGCTGGATGAGAGCAACCCATCCATGTGGAGCGGAGGTCCTGAGTGCCTGAGGGTGAGCATCCTGCACACCCTAGAGAGGAATGTGCATTTATGGTCTGTCCAGTTATCCTGTCTGCCCAGCGTCTGCACGGTGTCTGTGGTTGACCCTCCTACGCACTTTCTTTCCAGGCTGATCCCACAGTGGTTTCTACATGAGCCATTGGACTAGTTGAAGTAGTCTGGGCTTTTCTTCTGTCTGATCTTTGTGCCAACAATCTCTGATTTCTTTTCTTCCCCCTCCTTTATTCTTAATGCTCACTAAAATCTGTCTTGCTCCACAAAGAAAAATAGTAAAAATCCACATATTCTTGAACCAACTTTAGCATTCTATAATTTTTGAGATTAAAATAAACAAGGAAAATAGTCCATCTTTCCTTCTCACTACAGAATGCCATGGGGGATACTGTGTACTTCTAACAATCTAGACAGTATAAAAGTTTATTACT